AGCAACAATATTGTAAACTCCAATGATTTTTGCGTTTACGTGTAAATACAAATGTCGTAATTAAAACATCTAAAATTACATGGTTTATATGTATTTCTACTTGTACCTCTGGTCTTTGAGCTACCACTCGATATGATGTTCTAATATATATTTTCCTATCATATGACTCCATATATAATTCACCTACGCCATATCTTTTTCCCATTTTCCATTCCTTGTCTATTCCTTAATGATGACATGGTGTAAAACCATCTGAAATGATTAGGAGCTCAGCATCCCCCTGTATCAAATAAGAAACTATGATATCAAATGTTCCGCGAAAAGAGCAAAAGCCCAACCAATTGTTAAAAGTATTCACAATATAATAAGAGCGTATGTATTATTTTAAACGAGGATACTCTGTGTTAACCCTTTATTATGCACAGTAAAGAAGTCACACATTAGTCGTATGGGGTCAACGGTGACCCCAAACACAACTCTGTATATTAAGGTGATATTAATAAATAAATGAAACTAATATCATTCAATGGGCATATCTGGGATAAGTAGTCTGACTAGGTAAGTCCATCTTCGACCGAGAGGTCAATCTACGGATTCAAATCGGCTGGGCAGCGTTCGGGAAATTACGACACATCCTCTGGTCAGGTATACCTCAAACTTGAAAACGAGACTGTACAACCAGTGTGTGTTACCAGTGATGACCTATGGAACTGAGATGTGGTTCTTCACTGCTGGCCGTATAAGGAAGCTCAAGGTCGCTCAGCGAGCTATGGAGAGGGCTATACTCGGAGATTCTCTGCCTGATAAACTTGGAAATAAGGATATCCGCAGTAGAACCAGAATGATCGACATAGTCCAACGGATCAGTAAGCTGAAGTGGCAATTGGCTGGCCATTTACTCGTAGCTCAAAGAACCGACAACTGATGGGAAAAAAATGGTTCCGAGTGGCGGCCTCGTACCGGCAGACGAAATGTAGGGCGTCCGCCCACTAAATGGAGTAACCACCTGGTAAGACATGACGGAAGTCGATGGATGCAGGTGGATCAGGACCGTGCTTTTTGGTATATCTTGGGGGAGGCCTATATTCAGCAGTGGACTTGTGAAGGGCTGTAATGATGATGATGATGATGAATATCACTAAAAATATTAAAAGCTGTAGTAAACAACATTCAGTACAAAAGATCTTTCTACCTTATATAAAAAACACACAACACAAACAACAATCAAATTATTATGAATCACAATTAATAAGAACGATCAGATCCTTTCATATTTAGGCAATTTATTCAACAAGTGTTGCATTGTTTTATATTACGTAGGCACAATTTTATCAACATTCCTATAGCAATATGAGTCCAGGCCTTTCAGTCGATGGAACTTCACCGCTCTCTACTAGTCATGTGCCTAACAGACCCGACTTATTGTTAATGTAGGAATAGCGCAAAGATAAATTCAGTGTTTAATATTTAAATAATTCAAAATGCAGATGCGTTGTCGCCCGTGAGAATTAAGATGGAATGCCTCTTTTGCAGTTAAAAGGGTCTCCGGTTGTCTACACTCAGCTTACGAAACACAGCAGTGTTAAGCTGCTATTTTTGCTGGTATTCTGTGAGAGCGTGGTCCTTCCCCGGTCGAGCCGAGCCAATCGTGCTACAACTATACTACTAATATAGCTGCAACATGGCTCTACCACGTAAAAATGAATGAACAATGAATTGATTCTTTGATTATCTTAAATATAATATAACACCTTATTAATGGAATCTATGTTGCTAGTTTTACATTTAAATGTTTAATGTACATTGGTATTTTGTAATAAATTATAGGTGACATGCAAATTATTACCTCATTACACGTTAAAGATGTTTGGACAGGATGCTAACAAAGTCTATCTCCACTCTATCCATAAATCTGTCTATAAATTTTCTACAGGTAGGTGATCTATAGGAAGATCAGGATAGTGAATTCAAGTGGACGAATTCAAAATCTCTAGACGCAGCACTATGAAGCGATTAAATTTCCGACAATTCGCAAGCTCTTCTAGAAAATATTCGCACTCCAAACTGTGTGGTGGGTATGAAATTTATATAAATCAATAATTTTGCCAGTATTCTTTAAATATAAAAGACTCGGTTATATGTAGTAAATATTGCTAGTCTAACCACGCTTATATGAAATTTTGGGGGAAACGGAAACAAGAGATAGGCAGCAGCATCTTTCTGGCAACAACATGATATAATAAAAAACTGCGATTGCCAACCGGCCTGCAAAACGTAGTAACTTTGGCAATATCCTCCTTAGGAGGCTTTCTATGGGTGGACTTTTATTGAAAATCCAAGAGTGCACACCGCGATGTCCTATTTGATTCTTAATTGAAGATCGATGTAGGTGTCTTACGGCCTTATTCTATATACAAAATTAAAAAAAAATCTACAAATATACATCGACTTTGGTTGATATACCGTAAACTACGTTTTAGACGTGGTAGAGCCACACTGCAGTAATATTATGGTTGTAGCACGAATGGGTCGGCTAGTCCGGAGTAGTACCAGCGTAAAATAGCAGTTTAATGCTGCTGTGTATCGTATGGTGTGTGGAGAGAACCCGAGACCCATTTTTCTGGAAACAAGGCATTCCATCTTAATCCTCAGGAGTGCTAACGCATCTGTATTATGAATCTTTATCGAGAATAAGTGTAGATGTCTATGAGCCTCAGCATCTACTTACCATCCGGTGGACTGTGTGCTTGTTTGTCACCCGAAGTTTATAAAAAAAGCGAATAATAATTTAAGGATTTTATTAATGCATTGGAGTTATCCAAAGAAAAAGTGCTTTAAAAGCTTTTGGTTATATAGATTAGTTGATTAATTGCTTCAGTTATTTGTCATCATGTTAACACGCATGCCCCTGCCTCCAGATCAACTGACGTAACTAAAAGAAAGAATAATTGAATCACGTTTTTTTACATAATATGTATATAAGGGTCACTCGATCTAACAACAAATAAAAAATGTATAAAGAAAAATTTGACGTAGGTGTGTAGCAATCGAATGTAAAAAGAAAAGAAAAGAAACTAAAAGAGATTGAAATAGAGTCTTCAGACTCTGCAATTATCGAAAGTAACCAGATTCTGAAGATGGTGAAAAAATTAAGTGGTTTTGTTAAGTACGTCTCGATATATCTTGTACACAGAGAATTGCTGAACCATAGACTAGCACATCCACAATATAATTTTTTATTCGACTTTTCTTAATAATAATACGTGTTGCTGAATTAAAAAAGCTGCAGGATTGTTCATTAGTTTTACCTTTTTCTAATGATGTGCATTCCATAACATGTTAGTGCGATATACAATAATATAAACAACTTAATGTGAGCGAAACGAGTGATTTGAAAAATCCGACAGTAGAGCCTAACCTCCTCGCTTCGTTCGAGTTTTGTGAAGTTTAATAAATTACGGTCTAAATTCGACCACTGGACGACAACTAGTAGTAGTGCAAAGACTTGACTAGAGACTTCTGTCTAGTAGTAGTACAGACTTGTGTCTAGAAAATTTTATTCCATGCGAGTTGAAAAAATATAAGAGAAACAGATAAAACATTATATTACGTCAGCTACTCATTGAACCAAACATTTGGCTTTACAGTTCAAAATTAATATTCTCGTACTGAGTAATCAGCATCATCGTTAGTCCCCTTTTATACAGCTTACGTCCTATAACGCTTTTTGTTTTCAGTCTAAGTAAAAAACTAAATAGGTAACAGCGTTGATATCAAAGAATATTTATGACCAGGCTGATAACAAATGTGATGATGACGAATGGATTTCAAAGTTCTAGCAATACTGGAACATATTGTTTCATCTTCATCATAATTTTATTCTCATGCATCTATTTATACATTCATAATCATTTCAAAGTGTTATGGCTACTCTAGATGGTAGGACGCTTGTCTGCCCTGTATTCCGTCTGGATAGGTATTCGTTACCTATTCCTGCCGCCAAACATCAGTACTTACACTGCTGTGTTCTGTTGGGAAGGGTATAGAGACACAGTACACATACAGTGTGTGAGGCATACTATCTTAGTTCTCAAATGTGACAGCGCATTTCTTTTGCCTCCTTTATTTAAGGTTGGTTGCATGTTTCCATGGGCTACAGTGGCCGTGTACGCTCAAAGTTCATTTGTCACAGCAATAGTGCAAAAATGGACACCCACTAACAGTGGCCTTCAATCAAGAAATTATTATTCTCCGATTTTCGAGGTGGTAGAGCCATGCTGCAGCTATAATATTGTTGCAGCACAAATGGATCGGCTCGATCGAGAAAGGACCACAGAATACCAGCGTAAAATAGCAGCTTAATTCTGCTTTTTTTCATATGGTGAATGTTGAGAGTTGAATTGAGAATGAGAAGTTGAGACCCATATTTACTGGAAACGAGGTATTCCATTTTAGTTCTCAGGGATGACAACGCATCTGCATGTTTATTCTTTATCGATAATAGATGTCGATCCATTGCCCACAACATCCACTTACCATCAGACTGACTGTGTGTACGTATGTCACCGTTATTCTACAATAAAATGAAACAAACAACGTCCTGAGCCTCCTGCATCCATCGACTTCCTGCCACCCCACTCATTTCTTCTTCGTCCTTCGTTGTCCTGACAGTAAAGAAGTCTGAAGTCTTACAAACAAAGGGCTTGTAAATTCTATTCGTTTTTTGGACAAGTTTTGGAAGTAGCACTTTACGTATAGAATATACGTGATTTGAGCTCTGCTTATAACTTAAAAAAATAGGAATTTTTTTGTAGGAACAAATCGTAGATTAATTTATTAGATATAGTTTAAATGCCTACTTAGTCTAGTATCTACTCGTACTAGGCAGATATTACACACCTGACAGATAACAGAAGTATATAAAAACCGAGGAAATCTGCGGAAAGAGTATCAGTCATAATTAAGTAAGAAATATTGTAAGTAGTAAAACAACCGCGAAGATGATGAAATTCCTAGTAGTATTGAGCGTTGCCCTGGCTATTGCTGAAGGCACCAACGTGGCCAGATGTAAGTAATGGAAGTATATAAATATATATTATAATTGAAATATTTCACAGATTCTTGTAATTAACTTTAACCTCATGTGTCATTTTATAACCCATTTACGACATTAATATATCGTATTAAGATTTTAAATCAATCTTAAAAAAGGAAAAGTTATAAGCATCAATATGCAACTCTTTCTCCTAACGTGAGCCTCACCATTCATAGCAGTAAATTCATGCGCAATCGCTGAACTAAAATTCCTACGACTCTGATAGGGGTTTGTATGACTAGGGTGATGATGACAGCCCTGTGCTTACCTGCCAGCCTAGCACGGTGAGTGGAAAATCTTCCAAAGAATCTATACTGAGAAAAATTAATCGAAAAAATCTTCTACTGGAGAACTATAGCTAGAGATTTATGGGATATGCAAAACATCACCACAGAAATGATCCGCTGAATATAATTATTATTTTATATTTTAATAAATAAATGTACGTACTGATAATAGAAAACACAGTTTCATTTTTATTTTTATTATAGGCATTAACCACGCTGGAGATTTGCCTGCCAGCACCCGCATTGAAGGCTGCAACAATCCTCCTTGTGTCCTGCCTCAGCTCCGTGATGCCGTTGTCCACATGACATTCAGAGCTCGTAAGTAATTGTTCCATTTAGTATTCATCTGTTAAAATGTAAATGTCTACCAAACTTTTATTGTAATAGCATACTTATTCAAATTTCAGCACGTAACATGCAGTCCATGCGCACTTTAGCCACCGCTTACTTGGGCTCCATCCCCGTCCCATATGACCTCGGCAACAATGCAAACACCTGCAACCACCTCACGAACACCAGATGTCCGGTCAACGCTGGAACAAATGTCCAGTACACCCTGAGGATGTTTATCGAGAGCTGGTTCCCAGTGGTAAATATATATTTTCTTTAGTTTTCTCTTCGCCTTTTTTTTCGTTTTTACAGAGAAATAAATTGAGAAGGTCATTTTTCTGCGTTTTTCAAGACGAAGTGAAGTGAATTAGTTTGTTAACATTATTTCGCTCGATTTTTTTATAGAATAAGGACGATAAACGAGCATATCTACTGTGTGCTCGTTCGTCACCTGATTTACCTGATGGTAAATGGATGCTGTGATCTTCATCGTGTCACCTTCATCTATCCGTGATGAATTAAAATGTTAATGCATTTTCGCTTGTGAAAACTACGTTAGCTTCGTTTCCAGTACATGGACGGACCCTTTTTTCTACAATCACCATACAAAACACAGCATCATTAAGCTGATATTATACCCTGGTATTCAATGAAATCGTCGCTCTTCCCCGGTTCCCCCGGTTGCAGGCTTAATGAGTCAGTTCCTCGAATCATTAATGCTGACATTGCCACCACACTGTGCAGGTGCGGCGCGTAGTTGAATAATTAAAGTTAAAAGCTCCCTATCTAAGTACAATTTATAACAGGAACTAGAACATCGAAGTACAATTTCAGGCGACAGTAGCCTAATGGCAGGCCGTAGACCGCGAAATCTAAGGTCGTGGGTTCGAAACCGCCGTTCGACTTCTGACGTGAACCACACCTCACACAAGCATTTTAAGCTTATCGGGAGCATTGCCAGTATTTTAATAAAAAACAGAAAAAAATTCAGATATTAATTTCTATTTGTTCATTGCAGGGTACCTCAGCGACGATTGAGTTCAGAGTCGTGGACCAAAGCAACAACCCAGTCGTTTGCGTCCGAGTTCCAATCAGAATCAGTCGCTCTAACAAATACATCGCAGGCGAGAGTGGATTTCTCCCTGCCATCGAAGCTACCGAATACTAACTGACCAAGTACCAGATATCTCAATACCCGATGAATGTTTAAAAGGAAATCCATCTAATGTTTAATATCAATACATCAGCTATATTAGCAACAATATTGTAAACTCTAATGATTTTTGCGTTTACGTGTAAATACAAATGTCGTAATTATAACATCTAAAATTCATGGTTTATATGTATTTCTACTTGTACCTCTGCTCTTCGAGCTACCACTCGATATGATGTTCTAATATACCTTTTCCTATCCTACTACTTCATATATAACTCACGTACGCCATTTCTTTTTCCTATTTTCCATTCCTTGCCTATTCCTTAATGATGAGATGAAGTAAAAAAAATCCGAATTGATTAGGAGCTCAGCATCCCCTATATAAAGTAAGAAACTATGATATCAAATATTCCGCGAAAAGAGCAAAAGCTCGACCAATTATTAATATTATTTACAATATTATAAGATCGTGAGCATGATTTGATTATTATTATTATTATTATATATATATATATATATATATATATATATATATATATAGCTTATCTTCACGCACAATCCCTGACAGGGTAGCCAGAGAGAACAGATCGCCAAGTGTCACGATCCTTACGTACCTCTTTCAGATTCATTATCTTCTTCATATATGCACGTCTAGGTATCCGAGTACTCTTGACCCTACGCTCTTCGAGCAATTTGCTCACATGGTCTTCGAAAGTTAGTCTCGGTCTACCTCGACACCTTTTAATATTAACTTTCGCGCTATATATTTTCTTCACCATTCGGTCTTCACTCATTCGCTCAACGTGCCCAAACCACTGAAGCACGCCCTTATCAATTTTTGTGATAAGGTCATCTTTCAAACCTGCCATATTGCGAATCTCTTCGTTTCGCTTTCGGTCGGCCATGGTAACGCCGCACATTTTACGAAGAGATCGCATCTCCACTGCATTCAACTTGCTTTTATGCTTCTTCTGGCATACCCAGGTTTCGCTGCCATATAACAAAGTCGGTACCAACACTGCGTTATGTATTGCAAGGCGTGCACTCTTCACTACGCCTTGCCTTTTGACTAACGCAGTCAGGCCACCATTGACTTTGTTCCCGGCAGCGACCCGCCTGTCCACATCTAAATCACATCTTCCATCCCGACTAAAAGCACTCCTCAAGTATACAATTTCATTTACCTGTTCTAGACATTCCTGATTTGCCCATATTTCACACTTCGTTCCCCCTTCGTCCCTTTCAAATACCAGAACCTTAGTTTTATTAGCATTCAAACGGATACCCTTAATTTCACATTCCTCTTTCATACACGTGACTAATGCCTGCAGTTCTGCTTCTGATGGTGCAATAAGCACTGCATCATCATATATATATAACAAACATAGAGATCCATAAAAACCAGTGTAAAATAACTTATCGCTGATGTGAAGGACCTACGCTCCGGGAAGTCTGGAATAAAATTTGACTTTCAGGACCGCCCAACCATTACATTTTTCATATTAATAAGATTGAAGTGTATCTCTGTACGATCAAAATAACTGGCTTCTATTAGCTCAATGGTTTATTTGCATGCTATAATGACGAAAATAACCAATGAATTATTTTTGTCGGTCTGCTTATCTTCAGGATGACTGAACTGATTTTGATGAAACTTTACGAAGAAATAAAAAGAAGAAGGGATCTATCTAGGTTACATTTTACCTGAAAAGCTTGAGATTTATTTTGAAAAAAAAAAAATATTTTTTGATTCGAATTCTCGATCTGATCTGATGCGTTATTTAGATTGGAAATCTCGAATCTCATAACGCCTTATTACCTTACGTATGTGTACCTTAGGTTATCAGCTGCCTTAATGCACTATAAATTTATAATTGAAATTGATGACTAATTTCAAACCATATACCAACCCAAGCACACAGCTTCAAGACTTCAAGATACTGTATATATTCATAATACGATAAGTTCTATGTATATGTGATAAGTTCATACTGCGTAGATCGGAACAAAAATTAATAATTTTTAATCTGGAGGTAGCCGTGGTTAACTACGAGTATGACAGTGGGACGTCATACACCTCAGTCTCCCTGTGACCATGGGTGATGTAAAGTGTTCGAAACGTCGGGAATATAAAATAAGTTAATATACGCGATAACATCCGTAAAATTACTTTTATTTAAAAATTATTAAAAAGTATTATAAATTTAAAGTTTATTTTACACAATAATTATACTCAAGTTTAGTAGATTTTTAACACCATTTAAGTATTATTTTACAAACTGCATGATTAGATATAACTTTTTTTTCCACCAAGTATTCAAAATCTATTATGCATATCAATTTAATCTCTTTGAAAATTGTGCCAAATAATAGGTTACTTAATACATAATTATTATTGTAGATTAATAATAAAATTATTTTGCATGACTTTTGACACATGTTTGCAACAAGTAACCAAGTTTTAAAACTGTCAAAAAAACTATCCTGTCATTATTTTAGTATTATTTTTCATTAAAAGTGATTACTAAGCAAGTTAATATTTTGTTTTTTCTTTCTTCAACCAATACAGTAAAAAGATTCAATCTAACTCGTATTAGGAATTATAGTATTCTTATTTAATTTCTTTGCTGCTAGTACAATTATTGTTAGCACAAGTAATGTCTATGTCCGTTAAGAAAGAAACATTAAATTTTTTTGTCATATGTCTTTTACATAAGTCTTTTTGGCATAACAATGGTACCAACTTTTAATACTATACATCGCTTTTCCGTACGGTCTTGTGACATGTTATAATGTTTAAGTACTATTATCTTGAGACCGTTATCAACCCGTAATGCGTGTTAGTACTTTTTCCTTTCATACATTGGAAAGGACGTTAGTTGTGAGTTATTTTTTAAATATATATTATGGGGATAAGTAGTTTCTCCTTACGAAGTGTATAGAGCAAATGTATTAAAGTGACAGCTATCTTCTGAATTACAAGAAATATGCAGAATATCTCGATTCCATTACGTAGATAATAGAATCTCGATTTATTTTTGCTTTTGTTGTATTTCGATATCTTAATTAGAAAAAAAGTTAAGAATGGTTTTGTAAAAAAAAAACTTAAAATGGCTCTACTGTAAAATGCCCTATTGGCTTTCCAGTGACGATATATATCTTTATATATAAAAATTACGTGTCACGTTGTTTGTCCCCGATGAACTCCTAAACTACTGAACTGATTTTGATGTAATGTTTCACAATATGTGCAGTTTGGTCCGACTTAAGAAAGAGGATAGTTTTTATCCCGATAAGTGACCCTCAATTTTTTATTGTGAATTTAATGATTTTTTAAGACACATGGTCGTCGGAAAGTGCAGAACAACGTCTGCCTGGTCAGCTAGTATATATATATATATATTGTTACGGCCACCAGCTGCCCCTGCAAAGGTCGTCTTGGCTAGGGCCCATAGTAGCCTCCTCGACGGGCAGCCGAGGGTTCGGGCAGAAATGGCCATATGGACAATTGACCTATCATACTACACAATAGGGAGAAGGCTAGGTAAATAAATAGTACGTACCTGTATCCGAAGCTAAGACCACACCAAGGCTCGGTCATGCCTTAGGTAGTTGTATAGTGCATGTAAAGTGGTGTGTTGGTAGTGTTTATTTATGTGACCTGGCCCAGCTAAGCGTGACCGGGCAGCGGCCTGGTCCCATGCTGCCCCACAATGCTGCATCACTCCAGCAGGCGTCACCAAGGGACAACTTCTTTCTTCATGTCACTATTTCAGTCTATCAACCTTATTGTACATTTAACTAACTTCAACTCAACTAATTCAACGTTCATCGTAAAATCAAACACGTGATACCCGACACAAGTAACGAACAGCAGTTCAAAGTTCAATATTCAAGGTTCCGGATTCATTTATCACAAAATTACAAATAGGGAACTAACGCGATCTCTTCACGAATCACAAAGTTCATCGTTACAAACGACACTAAATTCCTTCGTTCGATATTAAATACTACGCCGCGATAAGAATTCAAAATCAACCTAGCTGACACGCAAACGAATTACAGAGTCAACACACAAAAGGCTCTTAACGCGACGGTACAATTAAACAATGACTTCTCAAAAACAATCAACCGGTAGTCGGCTCGAGCGTAAGATTCCTCGTCACACAAGCAAGCCAAATATTGCAAAATGTACTTCAACACGCAATCACTATATAATATAATTGGCACAATTCCATACAAGCCTCTTGTCACGACCGTACAACTTAGACAAACTAAAACCGAGGCGGTCTTCACGACCTCACAATTCAGTAGCGCACAAATACTCAATCTAGACCATAAACCAAAAACCGGGTCGCGCTGATTATATGCAGCGGTGTCCAAAGTACGCGAATTGCCCGCACCGCTGCTCTCCAACTACTGTTTCAAGCTACTGACTTCGCCCACGCTTCGAGCGACTGCAAGCGGCACACGGCCGCCCCCCCGCCCCCCCCCCCTGGCAGCGTTTACCTCACCTACATACCATTGGGTGACGCGCCGAGCCAAACGTGATTGGTGCGAATTTCAATATATATATATATATATATATATATATATATATATATATATATATATATATATATATATAATCCCACTTTATTTATTAATATAAGATAAAAGGTACAGACAACCTTTATAACAATAAAAAGCTAAAAATTAAAGTCTTATATCTGTTTTAGGGTCATATTATTTCCTGTCGACTTCAAAAAGGAGACGGTACTCAATTGGACTGTATGTTTTTTTTTATGTGTGTAATCTTATAACTTTTTACTGGCCGAAACCGATTTCTATGATTCTTTTTTTATTTGAAAGCTGGTACTTCACATGTGGTCCCATATGAGTTTGATCAAGGCCAGACCAATAATAGTAATTATAATAATAATAATAAGCGGATTCGGCGATATACCGAGAGGTTGACACGGTTCCAGAATCGTCTCTTCCAGAGTGATCAGAAGAGGCTCTATGAATCATTG